TTGTCTTCCCCTGCTGCTTCCTCCGCTTTGGCCAGCCTTATCTTCTTTGCCTGGGGTTCCTCCACCTCTAGGATGAGCCCTCTGTTGAGCGTTTTGAGGGCCTCGTCGAGGCTTGGAAGCGCCGCGTAAGCGAGCCTGGCGGCCGCTTTCTTGTCGCTAATGCCCTTGATGAACTTCTCGACTAGGGCCTCCTGGATGTCCTCCTCCTTCATGTTGCATAGGTAGGACCGGCCTAGCCGTTCCACTTGACGTGCAAACTGCCGGATGGTTTGATCCTTCTCCTGGACCAGTGTATTGAAGTCCTTTTTGCGCTCCCACATGGAAGCGGTTTTGCTAAAAGTTTTCACCAGCGCCTGATCCAGACTCTCGTACGTGATTGGGATCTCTTGGTGCTGCAAATTGGCTATCACATCCGTGGCGTTGCCTGTGAGAGCCTGCAGCAGAGCAGTCTTCTTGTCCTGGTCGGACCATTCGTTGGCCTCTGCCAACGTGACAAATTGCACCTGGTAAACTGAATAGTCTGTTTCTCCACTATACCTGGGCACGTCGTTATACACTGCTGCTCAAAATTAGCGGCGCACTTTTTTGAGCCGGCGTATTTTCTAAGTGTTTTGAGCTAGAATGTCGAGATTGGGCCTGTAGACGTCTCATTGGTTCGTCTTGGACCCAACGAAGTGCGCATCCCTTGCGCCACTCCATACGGCCTGTGCAGCCCCTGGAGTGAAGGGGGGTAGAAAATTCGACCTAAAAGGTTCCGAATTTGTCACTTTAAATGATCGGAAAGTCGAAATTTTTGGTGTACCGACTCAAATTTGTGTCCTCTTTCGAACGGTGCTAGCGAAATAGCGGTCGTTCAAACCCACCCCCTGCTCCGTTCACCCCCACCCCCATGAAGGGGTGAGTTTTGAGGATGGTCAAAACTACCGTGATATCCTCCAGGGACACCCCCTGTACACGGAACATGTGTTTTTTTTCGAATTGGACAAACCCCGGCCAAACCACCCACGCGAACGTGCAACCCCTATTCGAATATCGGCCATTTTCTAACCTACGGGTTGAAGTTTTGGCATGCAACTTTCAGGAATGATTCCTTTTGCCATTTGGAACACATCCATGCCGAGAAACCCGGTGTCAACATCTTCAACCCCTTCCCAGGGGGTAGCTACCCCCGAGTGACCGTGCACCCCTTTTGGGAGGGGATGGAGAGTTGGGTCTATGCGGATCTGTTTAAGAACACCACAAGGAAGCTTCCCTCAAATTTTCATGTCGATCGGACCAACCATTTTGCGTACAAACTCGATAAAGTGGAAAATCGTTCAAAAACTACCCTCAAGTTCAACTTGCCCTGTCGCCGAACTGAGAAGTGGTAGCAACCCCACCCAAAGCGTCCCACCTCGGCCCAACCTTTATCTCAAAGGCCGCAGAGTCTTGGGCCCCTGCGGCGACGTTCGCGGCCGTGAGACCGATGTAAAGACAGCACTGCACTTGATCAGATGGCAAGGCCGGCACACGTGACTGCCCTGTAGAACTTTAAAAGTAAGGGAACGCCCGTTTTTCGGCAGGAATGTGGACCCCTAGCACGCACATTTTACTCTGCAGTGAAATTCCACATTGGGGCTTGATTTTGCGTTTGTTGGTGCCATTATGGACTCGTG